GGACACAACCGCGGAATTCCCTTTTCTTTACCGTGTCAGCTTCAACTTTGCGGAAACTGCCGAGGATTACCGAATGAACTTCGATGTAATTGATCGATTTGAATTGGGGAAGCAACTCCAATTAGCATACAAACTTTCTAACATGTGATATAATTGGTTGTTATTGCCTAATAGAGCAAACGAGCTACTTGATTGGCTGAGAAGATTCTGTCAACACCTGTCATTTGATGATACATGTTTACCGTGTATATGTTTATTTTCATTCAAACTCAGGTAATATGTAATAGTAATCAACTACTGTAGTCCTAAGGACTATATGCCATCAGAGCAAAGTTTGGTTTTGAAGAAACGTTGTATTATGCATTATGTATTTGTGAATTCAGAGCACATGGCTGGAAGCTTCACAAAAAAGAAAACTCCAAGAGTCAGTCCTACCGATGCAACTTCACATCAACATGTTTCTAACAATATTGACCAAATTGTAGATCGCAAACAATCTAGAAAGCTCAAATCTAGAAAGCTCAAATCTTGAAATGGTTAATTATCTGCCAAGGGAGGATTTTCTCCCTATTGAATCTCTTGATCTCGAAAACGTGTTTATTTTTAGCTTGTAGGTCTAATTTCTCTCGAAAATTGTCTCCTACTTATTCTGAAGGATTAAACTACTAATATTGAAAAGTTATAAAGCCAAACACAAAAACTAGGTCAAACTACTTAACTAATAATTAGTATTCTCCATTTTTAATTAAACCATATAAAACAAATTCAGTTTGATGGATAGACGAAAAAAGGATTATTTATTATTGTGGGACTTTGCTACGGCAAAGTCCCAGTTTGTTATCGAAATGTCAATTCTTTTTTTTTTTTTTTTTTTTTTTTTCTTTCGATTTTTACACACCTTCCTGAGCTTAGACTACAATAGTTGCAGCGTCCTTTCAACGTTCACGAACCTTAGATATAGGCGACGATGTGCATGAATATATTTTGGATCTTTTTTGCAAAACCGGAAGTGCCACAGTTCAATATGTGCAAGAATAGATAATCGGCTCTAGAAGTCGTATTTTTGGGTCGATTTTCTTTGGGTTTGCATTTTTGGAATCTACTGTTAAAATCTGAAAGAATAGCAGTTTCAAAATTTCAAAATTCGAAAATTTGTCGCAGACATTTTTTTTGCCAAATTTTGCATTTTTTTCATTTTTTTTGCTTTTTGTCTGATTTGAAAAAAATTGAGCAAAGACAGTTTAAGAAAGTAAACAAAACGGTACAGTCAAATTTTCAATTTCACTTCCGGTTTAAACAGGAAATCGATGTTCACTTCCGGTTGAATATCTTCCGGTGTAATTTGTATAGGACAAAAATTTTTATGCTGATAGGTAGACAAAGTTATGACAAAAAAACGAAGAAAAAAAAATCCGGAACAGAAGTGAAACTTTGGCCGCCATTTTGATTTTTCTGAAATAATTCGATTTTTATTCGGACATAATGGCTCATCCGATTTAAATGATTTTGGTGTCAAATGAAAAAAACATGACATTAGGAAGCCGTTTTTCGATTCTCAATTTTGCTTTTTTGCAACATCCGGTTGAATTTTTTCAAAGTTTGAAGGGTCATATCTCGTGATCTTGAACTTGGATGACCTTGACCTTTATAAGGTCAAAGGTCATTGACCTTAGCTATCAGTTAATACTTTGACATTTGACCTCCGACATGTACTTCCGGTTTTATAGCTTTCCGAAAACAGCCAAATTGGCAACTTTGGACTGCTCTAGCACGTGACCTAATTAACCTAGAGGGTTAATTTTTTTGGATTCTTAATGTGCTTTTCATGCTCTTTCAAGTGAATTATAACAATCGTTTTTTAAAGCAAAATTGAAATTCGTGAATTTTTCAAATTTGAGTTTTTTTTTACAATATTTCTGTTTCTTTGAGCTTGGTGTGTATATATCTTATGACCTATTTTATGTAGAACATTGAAACTTGGAACACAACAAGACAATTTGAATATGAATTAACCTATGACAGTGGGCGTGGCACATCCGGGTGGAATTACTAATTGTTTACATTTTGGGAAAGGGGCATAACTCGCATAGGATACATTTGTTCAAAAAGGAACTTTGCACACAATTACCTCATTATTTTGGCCAGTTTGTGTTAATAGGTCAATTGTTTCAGCTTTATAGTTCCAAAAAAGGAACGGGTTTTGAAATTTCCATATTTTCAATTTTCTATTTTGACCCTTATTGACTCTTGTTGACCTATATCTTTTGACCTGTATGATGTAGAAGCTTTAAATTTGGGATACTACATAACATTCAGAATATCAATTAACCTATGCAAAAGAAATTGAGGTGGGCGTAGCACATCCGGGTTAAATTATTCATTATTGACAATTTTGACAAGGGACTTAACTCGCAACGTATACATTTGTTCAAAATGGAACTTTGCATACAATTACTTCATCCTTTGAGCCACGTTGTCTTAGAAGTTCGATTGTTTCAGCTTTATAGTTCAAAAAAAGGAACAGGTTTTGAAAATTCAAAATTTTCAATTTTTGACCTTGACCTTTTTTGACCCTGATTTTTGTAGGATTAAAGGTCATTCAAATTGGTTATCTATTTATACTTTTATATTTGCTGTCCTATCTCAACTTCCGGTTTTATAGCCGTATATATTTAAAAATTTTGATGACTTGTTTCTCGTAACCTTGACCTTTGTTGACCCTCTCCCTTTCAATGTTAAATGTCATTGACCTTGGCTATCTTCTGAAACTTTCATTTGTGAGGTCTGTCTACTTCCGTTATAACAATCTTCCAAAGAATTCTTCTCAACTTTAGACTGCTCTTGCGCGTGATGTAATTATCGTAGAAGGTTGATTTTTTCAGAGTCTTTTGCAATTTGCTACATTTGCAAAGTCCCACTCTGTGCCACGTGTGGCTCTAGTTTATTATTATTTTCAGGTATAATTTATGACGTTTTTGATAATAAAATTTTGCATGTTGCCCCTTAAAAAGAAATATTTGACTACGGGCGACTACTGTCAATGCTTACCACTAACAGGGTGAAATTTGATTTTCATATCTCTCTGCAGCCGGAATATTCGTAAATAAAGTATTACGAGTTACCATTCCAATTTCTTGTCTTACATCCTTGTAATTATAATTTAGTGCAAGACCTGAAAAATTTGGCCAGATTATTCCGTCTATATCGCATAAATACAACCTTTGGCTGAGTATGATAATGATATTTACGAGTATGACGTCTTATATTAGACTTGGTTACAAAATATCAGCTTGTGTCTTAATCATCATGAGACCTATTTTAATCTTTATAATTATACTACCAAATTATATATAGTGATCATTAATGTTTAACGCACTTTGTTCGTAGTTGTGCAAGCGTTATACTTATAGTTCGTATTCGTGCACATGCATACAGATGTGTATACGCCTGCGCGTAACGGATAAAAGGAGGGTGGGCCGATAGTAAAGAAATTTCAATTCGATAAAAGTTTGGAAAACACATGGTGGAAAATATACGTGAAATTTGATGTTATTCATCTAAGGGACACTGTTATATTTCGATTTACGTTTTTGGTCTATTATTTCGATATATGATGGTGGCTATGATGCTAACATTGTTCTGGGTGTGTTTTTTGACCTAGACCCATTTCAGATGGGGATTGATCGATTTACTGGACACAATCATTTTTGGTCATATGATTTCTGATAGTTCCCCTTTAACTTTTTTGATGACCTCAGACCTCAACCAGAAAGACTTCAAATTATTTCCTATTAATCTTATTTCCGACACGATCGTTGCATTAATCATCCTGTTTATATTAGTGTATCGGCTGGTTTCTATCTCGATAATAACGGTTGGTTAAATTATGCAACTACCCTTATTAAAGTGAGGCACTAACCAACAAAGTCAGTCTACCAACCAGGTTAGCAAGTGCCTGATCAACCAAATAATTGCAAATGCTTTAATGTGATTTTAAGTGTTTTGTATCGTGGTTTGTCTGTAGGTTGCTCCGTCCAACCCACTATAAATGATCTAAGGAAATTATATACAGCAAAAAAAATGTTCTAGCCGACTATTGTATTACCGATATTTTACACAAACCTATGACAGATCTCAAGACCCAAATACAAAACGTAACATTAAACCGGACGGAATGGGCTTCTGAAACTATAGCCGATGACTTACATAATTCGAGCGATTATCAAAATGTTGCGTTCACATATGACAAAATGTAAATGTATGAAAATTGAAATTTTTATGAAAATTATTATCAGATTTTCCTTACGACTTTTTCTAACAAGATAAGATAGAGAAAGACGATAAGATAAATTGACAAATTAACACAAGACAAAAGTGTAGATAGTAGACGCGGTTGTTAAAATTTACGTCAACTATTTTACGATAAAAGTTAACAATAAGCACAAAGTTAGCCAACAATGATAATTGCATTTTACGTAGAATGTATTTACATTAAAGTAAAAGCTTGAATTTTGTAGCTAGAAATCTACAAATTAGAAAAATTCATATCCAAAATGTACATTGCAAGTTTAAAAAAAGAACCAAATAGTTCATTAAATACATGAAGCGTTCATATCGCCGTAATTAGAATAAAGTAATAGACCTACATATTCTTTTTTTTCTAAAAGCGAAATTTGTCCTGTTTGTGCATAGAAAGTTAATAATTCATTTTTCCTATAGATAATACTGACTAATTAAAGATGAATTTCATAGTCATAACAAGGTCAAAGTTTGGTTGAAAGTTGATGATTGTATGATAAAGACTATATATTGTTTAAAAGTTGACTGGTGGTTACGAATGTAGTGTTGATTGAAACTATCTAGTCTGGAATAGGAACCACGAAATGAGATAAAACAATTATGTAAACTTGCATTATAATTACAAGAGATGAAATGTTTTAACTTTAGGAAGTAAAGGTACATAAAGGCATATGGAATGTAGCCTATAAGAAGAACTAGAAATGGTGAATTGTGAACTACTTCGTGAAGAATTTCGTGTGAAGAAATTTGGGTTGTGTTACGATAGGCCTGAAGATTTCTATAAACCACAGGTTAGTACTATAGTGTTAAGAAACTACAGTGTTAAAGTTTACTGAGTTGCCTTCTAAGAGTTCAGTTCAGTTTATCTTCGAATATTACTTGAATAATGTTTTCTATTTCAAGCATTGCCATAATTTAAACTTAAAGATGGGTTGCCTTATTTTTTAGTGTCAAATTAAGCAAACTTTTTGCAACTAATTGGTTAATTGGTGTTATCATGTATTCTCAATCATATCATTATGTTCTTATTGAATATAATTAAGAGTTTTAACCAATCATAAATGTACATGTATGTACGTCTGGATAAACAAAAGACTTTTTGACCTTTCTTGGTCACTCATTGGAATTCTGCTGGTTATTCTCTTCTCATTTAACTAATTATGAATTAATTATGGTAAAAGAGACAAAGTGGAATTCATTAGAATATAAGTATAAGCATTTTCATTTTCATAAATACAAATAAGGGAACCCATCTTTAAAACGATTATACGAAGTAAATTAATTTGAGAAAACATCGAAAGCTTATACATGCAAAATGTGTCTGTTCATCTAAAACAATCTAGAGTATTTCAAACAAGGAATTCAGTAAACCGACTAATTGAGCCTATGTTTACACTGGTTGTGTAAATAAAACTGTGATAGCTTGTTAAATGAGTAGGAAAAGAGCAGAAGTCAAACATCATTTTCGGAATTATTCATCGCAATACCTCTACTAACTTACACCATGTAGTGAATTTAACCCCACCATTGCTGGCACTATCCCAAGTAAAATAGTAGCAATATCATTTTCTTTCATTTTATTTGTGCCGAACTCCTCTTTCCATCCGATCTGTCCATCTGATGAGAATCTTTTTGCATGTTGTGAAGTCTCTGTCGAATCAAAGACAAAAGTAACTTTTTTTTTTGTGATATTGGGGAATACAAAGCAACATCATTGGGTGTAATTCGAATTTCGACAAATAACGAGGATCATAGGAGGCAAGTGTCCTTATCTGATCGTCAGCAGCCACTTTTCTATATCAGAACTGGCATAGGAAGCGCCATGCATTGTCCATAAACCTACACATCGTGTGTTGCAGATTGGACACTGGAATATACTAATGTTGTTTGAATTAAACCTAAATGTTAAATAAATAAACCAAGTACAAACGATCCGAACCGCAAAACGAAACCTTAAATTCAAAGCAACTTATGAGAAAGTATATAACAATCATAAGTGAGTAAGTAAGTTAGACGATGTAAAGTGAGCTGAGATAATGGATGGTTTAAATACAGCGACCCATTACACCTTTTTTCTTTAAAGTTATACGAAGTTTTCACTGAGTCGAAACCAATTCATGTACAATATAGAACCGGCATCTATTACAGCCTAACTTAACCCCTTTGTCTTGATCAGAAGGCTACGAATTCGATTAATCCAAGCCCAATATTCATCACCAAGCATTGAAGTTTTTATATAGGTATAAAATGTCACGATTATATTTTCAGTTTGGTAGTGGAAAGATTTATTTAGTTTGTCGTATACTATGGATGGTCTTCAATCTAAGTTGGATCATAGCAAGTGGTTGTTTGAATTACAATTTTGCATCTACGGAGGCGAATCGCATCAAATGGTTTACGTTTTTGACAAACTGGACATATTTATTGCTAACTATTCATTCTATTATTATGGTAATTGTAGTTGTATATCACCAGTATTATAACAAACAAGGTATGTGATCTGTAATTAACTTCTTATTCTATTATAATGGTAGTGGTAGTTCTATATCAAAGTATGTGATCTGTAAATAATTGTTCATTCTATTATAATGACAGTGGTATATAACCAGTTTTATAATAAACAAGGTATGTGATCTGTAAATAACTGCGTATTCTATTATAATGGTAGTGGTAGTTATATATCACCAGTATTATAATAAACAAGGTATGTGATCTGTAAATAACTGTTTATTCTATTATAATGGTAGTGGTAGTTCTATATCACCAGTATAATAATAATCAAGGCATGTGATCTGTAAATAACTGTTCATTCTATTATAATGGTAGTGAAGGTAATATATTACCAGTATTATAATAAGCAAGGTATGTAATCTGTAAATAACTTTATTCCACTATAATGATAGTGGTAGTTATATATCACCAGCATCATTATAATCAATGTATGTGATCTGTAAAAAACTGTTTATTCTACTATAATGGTAGTGATGGTAATATATTACCAGTATTATAATAAACAATGTATGTGATCTGTAAACGACTGTTTATTCTATTATAATGGTAGTGAAGGTAATATATTACCAGTATCATAATAAACAAGATATGTGATCTGTAAATAACTGTTTATTCTATTATAATGGTAGTGGTAGTTATATATCACCAGTATTATAATAAACAAGATATGTGATCTGTAAACAACTGTTCATTCTATTATAATGGTAGTGGTAGTTATATATCACCAGTATCATAATAAACAAGATATGTGATCTGTAAACAACTGTTCATTCTATTATAATGGTAGTGGTAGTTATATATCACCAGTATCATAATAAACAAGATATGTGATCTGTAAATAACTGTTTATTCTATTATAATGGTAGTGGTAGTTATATATCACCAGTATTATAATAAACAAGGTATGTGATCTGTAAACGACTGTTTATTCTATTATAAAGGTAGTGATTGTAATATATTACCAGTATTATAATAAACAAGATATGTGATCTGTAAATAACTGTTTATTCTATTATAATGGTAGTGGTAGTTATATATCACCAGTATTATAATAAACAAGATATGTGATCTGTAAATAACTGTTTATTCTATGATAATGGTAGTGGTAGTTATATATCACCAGTATCATAATAAACAAGATATGTGATCTGTAAATAACTGTTTATTCTATTATAATGGTAGTGGTAATTATATATCACCAGTATCATAATAAACAAGATATGTGATCTGTAAATAACTGTTTATTCTATTATAATGGTAGTGGTAGTTATATATCACCAGTATCATAATAAACAAGATATGTGATCTGTAAATAACTGTTTATTCTATTATAATGGTAGTGGTAGTTATATATCACCAGTATCATAATAAACAAGATATGTGATCTGTAAATAACTGTTTATTCTATTATAATGGTAGTGGTAATTATATATCACCAGTATCATAATAAACAAGATATGTGATCTGTAAATAACTGTTTATTCTATTATAATGGTAGTGGTAGTTATATATCACCAGTATCATAATAAACAAGATATGTGATCTGTAAATAACTGTTTATTCTATTATAATGGTAGTGGTAGTTATATATCACCAGTATCATAATAAACAAGATATGTGATCTGTAAATAACTGTTTATTCTATTATAATGGTAGTGGTAGTTATATATCACCAGTATTATAATAAACAAGATATGTGATCTGTAAATAACTGTTTATTCTATTATAATGGTAGTGGTAGTTATATATCACCAGTATCATAATAAACAAGATATGTGATCTGTAAATAACTGTTTATTCTATTATAATGGTAGTGGTAGTTATATATCACCAGTATCATAATAAACAAGATATGTGATCTGTAAATAACTGTTTATTCTATTATAATGGTAGTGGTAGTTATATATCACCAGTATTATAATAAACAAGATATGTGATCTGTAAATAACTGTTTATTCTATTATAATGGTAGTGGTAGTTATATATCACCAGTATCATAATAAACAAGATATGTGATCTGTAAATAACTGTTTATTCTATTATAATGGTAGTGGTAGTTATATATCACCAGTATTATAATAAACAAGATATGTGATCTGTAAACAACTGTTCATTCTATTATTATGGTAGTGGTAGTTATATATCACCAGTATTATAATAAACAAGATATGTGATCTGTAAACAACTGTTCATTCTATTATAAAGATAATGGTAGGCCCAATACTGTATTAACAATATTATTATAGTCAAGTACAGTAATAAAATATTTCACTGCTAAATCAGTGCTCAATACATCAATTGTAGATGATATAGAAATATTAAAACAGATATTGAAACATGCTCGGTAGGTAGGCCCATAAGTGACATTTTACGTCTGGCCCGAAACGTTTCAATGACATCCGTATATCACGTGGAACAGAGATACAAAATACATTGCTACATCCAAGTTAAGAGTACTCATGTCATTTTCTATTACTTGTCTTTGCAAGAAATGAAACTGACAAAAAAAAATTTTTCTTCATTTTTTTGTCATTTCTAGAGAAGGAAGAGAGTAGTATGCCGGTACATTTGAAATGTATATGGATATTAAGTAATGTTGTACATGGTGGATCCTTTATAGTTACTGGAACTTTCTGGACTGTTATTTTTCCTGGTTAGATTTTCTCCTAAATTACGCAACCACACCATAAAAATGAAATGAATCCCACTTTACTGCACCACATATAATAAGTTAATAAGAATGCAGTGCGCATTAGGAGAAGTTTTCCTACGAAAGTGGCATAAACCATTTCGATTTTCAAAAGTCGAGGGATCTTTAATGTGCAGAGCCTGTGGCACACAGAGACTGGGTTTATTGTCCACTACGAAGGGCATTTTTTGCAGCATGACCTTCATTACTGGGTTGACAATTGCACATGTTTGATACTGGTATAGCATGATCAATTTATTCATTTATGAACCGATCCATAGATTCAAATTACCGTTTTTATACACCCACATTATAATGTGGTCGTATATTGTCGTCGCCCCTGTCCGTCCGTCCATCCGTCCGTCGTCCGTCCGCAATTGGCCAATTGACCGCATAGACACAACACCGTTTTTATCTGATTTTGAAATTTGGTGTGATCATTTACATTAATGAGATCTTGGTCAAGTTCGAATTTGACGATATTTCGATGAACGGTTTTTGAGTTATTGCCTTTGACTAAGGAAAACGCGTCAAAATTTTTTTGTGAACACAATAAAAACTACAGTTTCATTCGATTTAAATGAAATTTGGTGTGATCATTTATAGTGATGAGATCTTAGACCAGCTCGAATTTGACGATCTTTCGATGAACGGGTTTTGAGTTATTGCCCTTGACTTAGGAAAAAAAAGCGTCAAAATTTGTTTGTGAACACGATAGAGACTACAGTTTTCATCCGATTTAAATGAAATTTGGTGTGATCATTTAAAATGACGAGATCTTAGTCAAGTTTTAATATGGCGATTTTTCGATCCCTTGACTTAGTAAAAACGCATCAAAATTTGTTGACTTTTTAACGCGATAGAGGTGACAGTTTATGTCAGTATATATTATTAAATTTTGTATGTTTGATTTAATCAACAATATCTTGCACAAATTAGATTTATGGTATGATTAGCCACAGATTGGAGACGGCCCTTGAGATACTGAAAATGTATCAGGAAAGTGGGAGTATCTTGCTAGGCAACCACTTTTTCAATTGAAACGAAATGGAGATCTACAGGGTCCTACATCAATGATCTGACAATATTTTTCTTTATATCAGGTCCTGTGACAGTTTAGCCTGATAATATCACGTTATAAGCTATTCAAACACAGGATTAAAAGATGAAGAAAACATCAATAATTTATCACATGTAGAATGGAATTCTTTATTGAACAGATCATTTGATTGCTTGAATATTAATTTTTCCAGAACAGGAGATGCAGAATAATTTTGTCAGACCCTTGATGGCAAGTGAAGTCCCTCAGAAAAATATTCCAAACAATACACCAGGATGAGCATTTTGAGGTGTTTTTTTTTTCAAATATATATTTTTTATTTCCAGGTATAAAAACTTTGTATTTGGTGACATTTGTAGTTCATGCGTTTAATTCAATTTATGTACTTTTTAACATTCTCGCTAGCAGAATACCCATTCGTATATTGCATTGTTATCAAGTAATGATATATGGATTAATCTATTTACTGTTCACTGCCATTTACCAGGTTTCCGGTGGAACAGGGCGACGTGACGAACCCTCTATCTATCCTGTTTTAAATTGGAACAATCCAACCAAAGCGTCAATCCTAGCAGTATTAATGGTGTGTCTTGGGGCTCCATTAATGCATCTCCTTGTGTACTTGTTATATCGTTGTCGATTGTTGTTAGCCGATAAATTAAACTCTAGAGGGCGATTGGAATACGAAGAAAAGAGTTCCCCTGAATCTTTTGATCAGTCAGAGCTTCAAGAAATAAAATAATGATATTGGATTAATACTCCGATGAGTATAACAACCTTTGTGTTATATTCTGTTATTATTATACAAACATTGAAAATGAAGCATCAGAAGATATTTTGAATCTATTAAAGGGATTGTAAAGAGGTTTTCTAAATCTTTTATGTGTATCGGAGACACTGATGGCATCACTCTTTGCACTTGTATAGGTTGATTAAAGGGATTGTAAAGAGGTTTTCTAAATCTTTTATGTGTATCGGGGACAATGATAGCATCACTCTTTGCACTTCTATAGGTTGATTAAAGGGATTGTAAAGAGGTTTTCTAAATCTTTTATGTGTATCGGGGACAATGATAGCACCACTCTTTGATCTTGTATATGTTGATTAAAGGGTTTGTAAAGAGGTTTTTTCAAAAATCAGAAAAACCTTTTTACTATCAATTTAATCAATCAAGTATTGCGGCGGGCATCATTAACGAAACAGGACATTCTCGAACCTCCGAAACACCTGATAGCTTTCTGACATCGGGTTTGTCTACTCACCATCCCTTTCGGAGAGTCCACACATCTTGTTTATTTGATTTATTTTATATGTTATGAAATATTTGACCCTCTATTAACAGATGACAGAGTTCGCTCTGAACCATTTGCTTTGATTATTGGGCACAAGAAAATCAATAATGCAGTACTTGTATATGGCGTTATGGTTTTAAATTTTGAATAGTGGAGATGTGTACATTTCTTTGCATCATCGGTGTTCAAGGAGATAAGTTTAAATAATTTATTGAAATGTTTGTTATTGTAATTTGGTATATTCATTGAAACTATATTGAGAAGAATAAACACCTCCCCTTTAATATTTTATCACTTCCATTCTCATCGTGCGTATGGCATGAAATGAAATTGACATTTACGTACTTTTTTCTGCCCCTTAATTGGTTAATGAGAAGGTCATCCCTTACAGTGTGCAAAAGTTGAAATAACCAAATTGTCCTCGTTCTTTTACAAACAGTTTTATAATTGTAGTCAGCTTCAGCAGTCAGCTTCTTGAGAGTAGGGGTAAACATAGATGACAGATTGACACTCTGGAAGGACAGCTGTCAAAGTTGAGAATCAAAATGCGAGCAATATCAAGATATGTTAATATGATTTTCCTATACAGGGTTTAACTATGTAAAGTGCCGTTCGAGTAGGTGATAGCGTTACATGTTATTGTTTCTATATCGTTCAAAAGTTCTTTGATGTAACTACATGTACATATATATGACACAGACTGAAAGCTATCAAACATACATACTTTAAAATAGTCAGCGAAAGATTAGATGAATTATGAATAAGATGTACGGATCATTGGATCGCATCAATAATCTTACTGCTTATAGGTGATAGATTAAAGTTAACTTACCCGATTTGAATCTCAGATGAAATGTCAAGGGATATGGAAATATTCACATGATGACGTTATATGTAGCTTCATGTTGGAGGGTAAAACGGGGCTCAGACATCTCACTGGCGCCATTTTAGCTGTGAATCATGCATGTCCACAATTCTCGGCACATCTTACCTTTAAAATCGGAAGAGATCAAATTTCATTCAAAAGCTTGACAAATTGTTGAAAAGCAAAACTCAAAAAGGCGGTCAGTCATATCGATCTACTTTAGATTTCTCTATCCTTAAATTCGTCATATTTTCAAGAAATAATTTCTAGATGATACGCTGTGATTGGTTAAAACTAACAGTAGAGAAAACTTGTTAGATTACAAAGAAACGAAACTTAAATTAACAACTAGCCTTGAGACTGACTTCGTCCCAACTCCTTCATATATCATCAAAGGGTTTGCTTCATTACGCTAAGTGTTATCATGACAACTATTGAAAATGCTTTTGAGGTTTCAAAATATATTGCACGTTATCGAGATATATATTTCAAAAGAAGTGGGATCAAAATAATAGTCTGAATGTATATCAACGTATACAAAAACCGCCTTTTAAACGTTACAGTATTGGTCTAAGATCTAGTAACACTTTCAAACTTTCACTTGATTACATTTCAGGAGAAGTCATATATTAGAAAGTTTAAATTGTGTTGGCGAGATTTATTTTTAATAATAATTTCAGACATTTTAATATGATTAATTAAAATATGATTTCTATACGTTTTATTTGTGTAAGAATTCATCAAATCAATCCAAATTTTTCAGACTCTCGAGCGGAGGCTTGTTTCTTTATAAACTAGAAATATAAAACTCAATTAATTGATAATAGTTGATAAAATTTCAACTATTGGCAATTATTTTGAAACTGTCCAGGCAAATAAAACTTTGGAGAATTGATAAATGCAACAATATCGCGATAACACGATGTCCCATCAGAAAAATCAAAAGGTGATTGCGATGAATCTAACATAATTTATCCTTTTCAGCTAGTTCCTAATAGTTTTACGTTAAAATTTATGTACTTTCTTCCTTTGACAAAATTCAAAACATGTTCCTGATTATTTTTATTGGCAAATATCAGTGAGATCTGAATCATTAAAACAATTTTCGTGAGATTTGGTTGTGGAATTTTCGAAATATTCTAAAATTAGATTATAGAGAGGTTTTTAAATTTTTTCATGTATATCAGGGACTAAAATGCATCATTCAAATTTTCAATCAGACGTCTGTGATCCCTGCAATTACACAGGAAATAGTGTTCAATGACGTCACTAATCGCAAAATTTGCTTCATCACTGAAGGTCTTTCAAAACGTCTGATTGAAAAGTGGAATTAGTGCTGGGTATCGTCAATCATGCAACAATACGATACGTATTGCGATAATAGGGTCACGATACGATACGTATTGCGATAATAGGGTCACGATACGATACGTATTGCGATGTGGGGTAATGGGATAAAAAATTAACATTTTATCTTCAGTTTCTATATATATTAATTCATAACTTTATAACTGCGATATTTAGTAATATAGTTGATAGAAGTGGTAAGGGTCCACTGCCTAAGAATTTCTAAGAATTGCAGCGAAAAAAATTGTTGTCATAAAACAACTAATAAAAATCCTTTATGTAATAATGTATCGTGGCATGTCGTATCGCGATGCATCGATTCACCGATATATCGTACCGGCACTTATTGGAATGGTGCGAATTGATGCTATCAATGTCCCCGATTAACATACAAATCTAGAAAAAAACCCTCACAATCCTTTATACAAAATAAATGTGTATTGCGTGGTGAAGGTTTGTAATATAAGCGTGAAGACAATAACATAGTAATAATTCATTACTTAACGACAAGATCTATAAAGTCTGTGTCTTGCCATTCATTCGCTCAGACGAAACACTGGAGCTTGCTACCCACATACGTGAGCTGTGTTGATGTTTGACCAGCGAGCAGTGAAAATGAATATCATTATATTTTGTAAGTATTGCATTTAATTTACTATCTTTAAATAAATAGGGTTTTAGCAAAAGTGAACAGAAAACACCTAAATCAGTTTCAAACCCAAATAATACCAATCCGAATCGCAACACGGAATCCGAAATCCAAAACAACATATTGGTAATACGTGGTAACATTCAAATTATTTTTATAAGTATTAGGTATTGGTGTATGCATTGATTCTATACTTTGCAAAATATATTAGTCTGGCGTCTAATATGCTATTTGGAACTTTATCAGCAATCGAATAAATTAAATTCCACCTCCAGAACACACACATGTAACATGACGATCTCTAACGTCTTTGAGTAAGAATTACGCGATTAAAGTCATCAAGTTCATCTAAATCTTTTCAACAATAGACCAAGATCATCCAAAAGGCAGTTTCTACCCATTTCTAAATAGATTTAAAAGTTAAATAAAAAAAAATTAAGTTAAGCAGTGAATTTGCCAATTTTGAAATTTTTTTAAGATAACCTTATGTGGTGGATACAAAGTATAAAATCAATATAAAAGTTAATGTTATTCGGGCAGAAAAGAATTAAATTCATACAAGTAGTATATCCCCCCCCCCCCCCCCCTCTGCTATGATGTATTTGTTAAATAAATTTGATAGTAAAGATAGTTTACTTGTGTGAAAATTGCAAAACCTACAAACCCTAATGATGTCTGTGTTTCTAAAGATCCATAATGGTGCCAAGTGGAGTTTGCCATGTATCTAATGGTGTGTGAAAGAATTAAAAATCAAAAAAGGCGCGATGATGTATGAAAAATTCTATAAATCCGTTTGTAAGAAGAGGAGCCGTGTTGCATAGGACACTTGCTGTTTAAGATGATGAACACAAAGGTTGACTTACTATCTTCTGATTTGTCAATATCGTAACTAGGGTCTTTTTCCTGTTTGTCTTTGATGTCTTTAATGGCATCGCTGTCAGTAGACGGAAGATACTTTTACCAAATACATCAAATAAGCGATATTATTAAGTGAATAAAATATTTCCATTTTAAATTTCTTAAACAAAATTTCTTTTTAATTCCTTTTTTTTGTTGGTGTCAAATTCGGCTTAAAGCCTTTTGCCTCATATGCCGAAATCAGATTCAGCAATTCAATGAGACAGGCTGTGCAGGCAACAAAGCGAATAAAACATATCAGCACCTCGGGTGCTTCTTGATGATAGCATGTTCTTAGAAAGCGTAGGTTTTCAAACACAGGGACATGTCTCCAACTTGGGACATTTTGCACTCTTCTTCAAGTACATTTGATAAAATGAAAAAAGCTACAATATATTCAACATCTCACATGACTACACTATTCAAGGCTTACAATGTCATTGAGTACTCGGATAATTATTTGCAGCATTTTGGAATCCTACCAGGGACCGTGTCTGATATCCCATTCTAGTTTTAACTTTCGATATCTACGGACATCGTTTTCATGTAAAATACGATTTGGGGACAACAGGTTAAAAACCATCGGTTGAAAGGATTGGCCCGTTTCCATAATTAATATTACTATAAAGAAACTAATTTTTAAATTACTTTAGTTACAATATTGTGAGTTCATTTACGTATTCTTTCATGGCTATATCATGAAAGTTCATAAACAATCATTAAGGGGTATGAAAACTTTCAAGGGGGAGGGGGCGATCTCAACTATTTGACTCGACGAGCTAAAACGCATGGGCTTATCAAACCGTGTTAAATGCCATAGTTCGCCATTTTCGGGCGGGGACGGGGTTATTTGGATCATGAAAACTACGTGTAAATTGTCTAATGTACGAAAATCGCATAGTTCGTTCAAAAATACCTCAAATTAGGAATTTTACATTTTGTTTCTATATATTAATGTCCTTTCTATATATCGCAGTCTCGAGAAATGACGAGGCGTCATTTTAATTTTAAACACAGATAATTCTGGAAACACATGGATTTGAAGGCTCAAATTTCGAGGGTGAGCTGTGAACACTATTACTGATTAGTAGCGTGATGGTGGCTCCAAATTGGCTTGGGGGACAGAAATCGTTTTTACAACTGCGCTTTTTGTACAATCCGATATACATAAAACATTTAAACACATGTTAGTCAATAATGCAAAACTCTAACTTATACTTCTTATTGTAGCTAAGATATTTTATTAATAAGAGCATAGGATCAGAATATCGTTCAGTTCAGTTTTTGAATAAGTGCTTTTGGCAGTTATAGCTCCGTCACGCCGTAAAGGCGTCATTTTCGCCAATATTCGCCGTGTAGATCGCCACGGAATCGAGAATGTCTTTAGACCAGCGTCATTAAGTACAGTAGATTGTATTAGAAACGCACATATTAACGCAATATGTTCTCATATGTCGCAATTTTACGGGGCTTTTTTCAACGTTTTCTTCGCGTCTGCAGGCGACCAAACCAGTGCAACGGGG